ATAAAATATTTATTTTCTTTTAGTTACAAGTATTAAATTAATAAAAATTATTCCATGTAAAACCTACTGTCTCTCCTTTCAGACTAGTGAAAGGAAAGTGCGTGGCCACTCCTTTAAATACTCCCTCGGTTACATCAACCTAAGTCTCTTTCTCATTGGAAAACAAAACAGGCTAGAGCCCAGATTTTGCTTGCCTTCAATTTAGAAGCCCACAGCTGCATAGGCTAACTGGTTTGACCTTTATCAACGAAACAAAAGGTAAACAGGCGAAATGTCACTTAGTTTGGGCATGACTACCCCTCAATTAGAGCTCAAGCCAATGTACAGACGTCCATTGATACAGGGCATACAAAATATAGACGCCATAGCAACTGAAAATGTGATATAGCAAAAACAAAGTGCGCCAAAGTGTTTTTATTGAAGTAATACCGTTTAAAGTAAGCCAAGTTGAAATGGATAGGTCTAATTGAAGGAGTTGCTATACAAACATAAATAACCTAAAGATAAATTYAAAATAAATTTAATATTGTTTTTTACTTTTGTTTTCATATTTTATATAAAATAAATACATATGTGTATATTCATATATACTTGCAAATTTTTATATATTTTTCATGTTTATGTTTACTGCCTAGATAATCAAGTACTGATCGCCCACGCAACTTGCTCCAAATTTGACATTCAGTGCCCATACAAAGTGGCTAATTAGCTCGATTCATGCGAACTATGTATAGTTTAGCCTGTGGGTAAGCCCAATGTTAACTCAACATTAATAGCTGCGAGACAAGCTGTCATAAGCCCACTGATTCGACTGTCAGCAAACTCAACAAGTGCGTACGAAAGGCCAAAGGCGGACAAGCAACGATTTAGATAAATAATTTATGCAAATATGTAGGAATACACATTCTTGTTTACATTCCATAAGAGAATAAATACCATTCTAGCAATCTTTAGCTTTTTCGTTGCGTTGCTTTGCAAAATATTGCGCATACGCCGAGTGCTGCTCATAATTAGAAATCCAATTGAAATTAATGCAATTTCGTTGGCAGCACAATTAATATGCTCAGCCCCCAAATAATAATAATGGTATTAATGCTAAACGGAGTGTGGGCGTGGCAGGGCGTTAAATCCTCGTTAAGTGCTCAACAAATGCGGCATGA